CCCTGTATCCTCATTGCCTCCATCACCCCAAACCCCCACCACCCCAAATCCTGAGGGTGATGACCCTCATCCCCACCACCCCACGTCCTCATTGCCCTCATCCCCATCACCCCATGTCCCCAGTCCCCCAGCTGTATCACACCCAGGTGGAATAGGACCATCCTTCCCCTCATGACCCCCCACCCTCAGTCTGACCCCAAAACAAGTGGTTTTGGGAAGCCCACCCCACCTGGCTGTGATGGACACCCGGAAATCCTCCTGCCGGTCAATGTAGAGGAACTTCTCCTGTGGATCCAGGGTCACCTCAAAGCTTGGCAGCACTGTGGAGGAGACATTCTGTGGGTCCAGGATGGGGCACGAGGGATCAGTGGGTTTGGGATGGAGACCCCCCACCCCACCGTACCGTATTCCTTGACCTCAAATTGCGTGCTGAAGACCTGGTCCTGCGAGTCTTCAAATTTGGCCGTGATAGTCCACGTCCCCAGGCTGAAAAAGATGGGGATGGGGTGAGGGGACAGGGACAAGGACAGGGACAGGGTGTCCCATTCTGGGAGGTGACACCCACCTGACCACCTCCGGCAGGTTGTGGTTGATGGAGAAGATCCCATTCCTCTTGGGGGAGGACACGGGCACTTGCTTGATGATGACGTTATCGGGTGTCTGTGGGGAGGTAGGACAGTTGGGAAGGAGGGGACGGGTGGCACTGTCCCCATGTCACCACGTCCTCCTCGTGTCACCGGGTCACTCACCTTGACCTCCACGATCACCGTCTTCAGCAGAGGCTGCATGAAGGGGCTGAGGGCGAAGAGACGGCAGAGCACTGGGAGGGGACACAGGGGGACATGGTGGGGACACGGTGGGGACACGGTGGGGAAACCAAGGGGACATCAGGAGGAGATCCCAAAATGAATTCTGGACCCCAATAGAGGCCATAAAGAGGATGACCCCAGGTCTTGGACTCCAATATGTCCCCACGTGGGTGCTGGAACCCAATGGGGACATGATGGGAAGGTCCCCAAATGGGTCCTGGACCCCAATATTTCTGCATGTAGGTGCAGGACCTCAATGGGACATCAGTGAAAGATCCCAAAGTGAATTCTGGACCTCCATAGGGGGTACAGAGAGGATGACTCCAAACAGGTGCTGGACCCTAATGGGGACATCATAGGGGTGTCCCAAAATGGGTTCTGGAGCCCAATATGTCTCTATGTGAGCTCTTGACCCCAGTGGGGACATCATGGGAAGGTCCCCAAATGGGTCCTGGATCTCAATGGGAATCTCACGACGAGGTCCCAGAATGGATTCTGAACCCCAGTATATCCCAGCATGGGTGCTGGACCTCAATGGGGACGTCAACGGAAGACCCCAAAATGAATTCTGGACCTCCATAGGGGGTATAGATAAGATGATTCCAAACAGGTCCTGGAACCCAATGGGAACCTCGTGGGAAGGTCCCAGGATGGGTCCTGAGACCTGAAGAAGGGACACGAAAAGGACGGCCCCCAAATCCTAAGGCCAGCAGCCCAGGACTCACCGGTGGAGCCGGGGGTGTAGATGGGTTTGTCGGTCTGCAGGAAGATGTGGCCGCTCTGTAGGGACACCAGCAGCACCTTCTCCAGGGTCACCTGTCCCACCCGTGCCACCACCGAGACAAAGTGCTTCCCCACCACCTGTGGCAGCAGCTTGACCGGCACCTGTAGGGACAGGGGACATCGGGGGCACGCATGGTCAGGGGAGTGGGATGGGGACACTCTGATGTGACCACCCCCAAAGGCGCCAAGGACCCCAAAATACTGGCCCCAAAGACAACGAGGTGATTGTCCCCATGAGGACTGGGGTTACTGTTCTGTGACCAACCCTAAGGGCACCAACAGGACTGACCCCAAAACCCCAAGGGGACCAACCCCAAGGACACCAACAGGCCTGACCCCAAAGACCCCAAGGCGACCAACCCTAATGACACCAACAGGACTGACCAGAAAGACCAACCCTAAGGACACCAACAGGACTGACCCCAAAACCCCAAGGTGACCAACACTAAGGACACCAACAGCACTGACCCCAAAGACCCTCGGTTGACCAACCCTAATGACACCAACAGCACTGTCCCCAAAGACCCCAAGGTGACCAACCCTAATGACACCAACAGGACTGACCCCAAAGACCCTCGGTTGACCAACCCCAAATACTCCATCACAGTTTTCCCCAAAGACCCAGGGATGACAGTCCCCAATCTCATGCTGAAAGTCCCCACGGTCCGACATCAGGGTCAGGTTTAGGGTTAGGGTTAAGGTTACGGTTAAGTTGTAGGTTAAGATTAATATCACGCTTAAGATTGGGATTAGAGCTGAGATCGGGGTTGGGGTTGGGTGACACCCATCGGGGCGGTGACACGGGGTGGGGACACACCTTGATGGTGGCGGTGGTCATCATCCCCTCTGCGGGGTTGAGCTGCTTGCGGATCTGGAAGAGGACTTTGCGCTTTTGGGGGAAATCCTGCACCAGGATGTTGGCCTCGGTGGGGGAGGACAAACCCGGAGCCTCCAGCACCACCTGCTCGTCCGTGTCCAACCTCAGCAGCGCCGGGGTCACCATGGTCACCCTATGGGGTCACTGCGTGTTATGGGGGAAAGAGTCCCTGCCCCAAATCTCCAACGGCAACACCCCCTTGATCTGCCCCAAAACGGCACCCCGACCCGGCCCCACACCTCCCTGAGGAACCTATAGCATCCCTGAGAGCCCTTCATGGGGCTATGGCAACCCAAATCCTACACTGCACCCCAATAACCCCAATTGTGGTCCTATAACCCCCACTGCAGCCCTACTGCACCCCCAGAGCACCCCATGACAGCCCTTGTACTCCTATAACCCCACTGCAGCCCTACTGCACCTCCAAAGCACCCCATGACAGCCCTTAGACCCCTACAACCCCCACTGCAGCCCTATAACCTCCACTGCAGTCCTATAACCCCCAATGCAGCCCTATTCTACCCCAAAGCACCCCATGACAGCCCTTGTACCCCTATAAGCCTCATTGCAATCCTATAATCCCCCGCTACAACCCTTCTGCACCTCCAAAGCACCCCATGACAGCCCTTGTACCCTTATAACC